TTAAATGTTGACTTTAAGTGAGGGATAGATGATGAGAAAGGTTATCTAAATGTAAAAATGGAGGAGATGTAATATGAGTTTAGTCTTAAGTTAATTTATTTGATGGTAACCATTTCACTTGTAATTTGACATGGAGGAAAATAAAATAAATCAAAACTTGTAGGCAAACACTGGCTGTTCTCATTAAGGAAATTAGTGCAAGGAAGAAAGTTATTTTTAAGAGGCTCGATATCAAACCGGAAAGTAAGAGGCAGCCATGGGAAAGTGGTGGCCAGTGGAAAAAATGGGCAGCAGTAAACAAACGTATACAGAAAGGTCAAGGGAGCAGATAAAGACAGTATTGTAGAATGTAGCTATTATGTAATGATGTAATTTTTAATATATAAACCAATCCAATCAAGCCATTAAACATCTTGAAATTTAGGACAATTGTGAGGCTATTCTAACTGTAAGAGGTTATTTTTTTACTTTTTCAGTTTTGAATATCTTTTTTCTCATGAATTTGAATTCTTAAATATTTTCTAGGAACGGTGTTAATTAAAAATAAGTTATTCTTAAATCTTTTCAACAATACTTAATATTATTTCACTTTTTTAAATTTTTTTTTTTTACTTAAGTTAGAAAATGGTACTTAAGAACAATTTTATTCTTAGCACTATTTCGGGAATCGGGCCCCAGATGTTTCAGACAGAATAGTGAACAATCCAGCCTCTGACCCAGTTTCAAGAAACATCAGGCAGTCCTTTGAGAACAGCATCTTTGCCCAGTTCATCTTTCTGTTCTTATCATGAGCATGAGATCTCAGACCCATATTCATTATTTTCAGGCTCAAACTCGAACTACCTGACAGTGTACAGTGATTATGGAGTAGACGTGTTTGATGTCCACACCACAGAATGGGTCCAGACCATCTCATTAAGAGGAGTGAGTGAAGGATCCTAATTTTACAGTTTCTGAATGCTGTTTCAATTTTATCTGTTTGTATTTATGATTTAAAAGCTGATCTAACTTTAAACGGTGTCTGTAGATTCGGCCCCTGAATGTGGAGGGCAGTCTGAACCTGTTTGGCTCTGAGCAGCCCCACCTCATCTACTTCAGCAACAACTCCTCAGGTCTGATCCCACCCCACACACACTTCACCGTGCGTCTGCTTCACTGCTGAGGGCGAGTTTATTGCTTCAGTCAATGTAGCCAGAGTCTCTGATTACAATAGTCCACCTGTGAAGAAATGTGTCCTCCACAAAGTGATGTCAATCACTCCCGCCTACACAGACACTGACGCATGCATGTATCAGACTTATTTGTTCATTAATGACGTCATCAGCGACTAGTTGACTTTGACTCTACTTTCATCACATAAAAATCGACTTCAAAAAAGCAGAAGTCGTTCAACCCCTAATATATACTAGCAAGCCCACACATGCTTAGAGCTCAGTAATAGTGGAGATTTTGATTCATCTCAGTGACTTGATTTTTTTTTTTTTAAATCTGTTCACTAGAATAATTTGTTCATTGATTCGTTCAGTGACCCTTACTGGCCATTGCGTCATTATGCCAGTAGATGATGACAGTTAACGTTGAATGTTACGAGTCATTAAATTAGTAATATGTGTCACTGAATTATTCACTCAACCAATTTGTTAAAAACACTAACTGTGTTCGTGACTGAAAAACTCTTTAGAAAGAACCTAAAACGGCTCGTTCTAACACGCCCCACATATCTATGTCACGATGTAGGAAGATTTGCATAACGCCGCCCAAAGTTTCACGCAAAGAAAGAAGGCGTAACTTTATTCTCGCTGTTGCCGCCGCTGCCATGTTGCCAAGTCGCTGTGTGTTTCCATGAAAGCGAAACGTCTCGGTTACGTATGTAACCCTCGTTCCCTGAAGGAGGGAACGGAGACGTCACGTCGGAGGACCGACGAAATTGGGATCTCGCTTAGAGGGACGTGTAGAGTAGGCTTGTTGTTTGTTGTTTCTCCAATCACAAATGCGGACATGGCTGTGCCTGACACTCCCTCTAACGCGAAATAAACCAATATCCAGAGTTATTCAGTTACTCCTAACAGTACATTGACTGAACTGCTAAAAGAGAACCGATGATGGGATGTGCACGAGCAGAGCAGCTGGACTGAGTCTCGTCCTGCTGGGAGACGGCATCACAGTATGCTAAGGGCGTAACATTTCCGTCAGATGCTTGAGGTATTCGGCCAATCACACCGCCACTGGATAGTGGCCAATCAGAGCACACCTCGCTTTTCAGAACGATGAGCTTTGTAAAAATCGACGCGTTTCAGAAAGGCGGGGCA